GCTAGCTTGTGGGAGTTGAAGTCCACAAGTCTTAAAGTTGCCAAGTTTGGGAACCACTGGTATACAGTTAACTAAATGCTTTTATATATCAGCACTTAAAAAGACAAAAGTACAGGTAGTCTTCAAAATACGGCCACAATTGAGCCCAAAATTTCTGTTTCTAAGGAAGAGTTTTGCCCCATTTTTAAGACCTATCTTGCCACAGGTTTTAAGTGAAGGTTGTGGTCCGCCAGCAGCCTGTGGAGCTGGCAGCAGTCGGACAGTGAGGAGGTTGGGAGGAACATGGGCCAGTCCTGGAGTCTGGGGAAGGCTCAAATGAGGGCTCTGCGTCGAAGACAGAGAGGGGGCCAAGGCCACCTGGTAATTATTTGCTGCCTCTGGAGCCTGCAGAGTCTGATATCAGCAAGGCAGAAGAACAATGGGAGCCTGTTCCCAGTGTGCGCATGTGCAGAGCTGCCAGAAGAGAACAGGGTCGATTCGGGAATAAGGCTTGGAGATGATTGGCCCCTCCCATAAGACATAAAAGAGGAGCGAACGGTATGTAAACTTTTGCAGGAAGCAATTAGTTCATCTGGTTGGTTCAAGCCTTGAGAAGTTCTGTGTCACTCTGTGCTAAGTTTGGCCTTGCAAAACAAATTTGGCAATTAGGTCTCTGGCAGCAGTTCAAAGGAGATACGGTGGGTGCTTATCAACATTCTTCTGAAAGTCTCTGGCAACTCAAGCAGACATCTGTCGGAATCTTCACACACTGTTTGTGAAGCCTTGCGAGCTGTGAATGACCATAATTCATAGCCGCATAAATAAAAGAGGCTTTTGGAGACTAAGATTGTGATTTATGCTTTCTCAGGAAGCCTATGTCAGAACAATGAATCACTGCTGTTATTAAATTAATAACACGGTTGAAAATTGAATCTGGTTTCTCCACTGACTTTACATGTCAAAATAATCACAAAACATGATTGCAGGAACCCCGGCACACTACAACCGTCATAAATATGAATTAGTTGCCAAGCGTCCAAATCTCATGGCTATGGGGATGCTCTTAACAGTTGTAAGACTGAAAAACAATTGTAAGTCACTTTTTTCAGTGCTGTTGTAACTTTGAACAGTCATCCAATGAATGGCTGTAAGTTAAGGACTACCTGTATTCATATTTAACAACAAATCATGGTTTTCAGCCTTTCAAAAGCTAACTCTGGACTGATATCATGCTTTTCTTCTCTTTTGAAATCAAAAGGAGGAAATCAGAAGTTTCTGGGATTAAAAATTAAAGTCTTCTTCAATTTCTGCAGGATGTAGGGATATATCAGTGTAATTTTTTGACATCAGAAGCTATCTGTTATTTCAGCTGTAGCCCTGGTATTCCCTGGAGATGTCCTATCTAGCAACAAACCAGATGTAGGTGCTTCGTTCAATAGGTTGTCTGATCCTATTGATCCCTAAATGTGGTTAGAGAACCAGTTTGAGGTAGTGTTTAGTCACTAGGCTAAAAATCTGAAAACCATGAATTGTACTTTGGGCATGAAGCCAGCTGGGTGACTTTGGGCTAGTAACACCTTGTCTTCCTAGGAAGAAGGTGAGGGCAACCACTTCTGAAAGACCTTGCCAAGAAAACTTCAGGGAGTAGTGATTACCAAAACTGAGCTATATGGTGAATTACAAGTTAACAATAATAATAATAATTTATTCTTTTTGAAAACTGACTTTTCTGTACAGAAAACAGCCATCATTAGCTTGCTTTCACAAATAAAAGTTAATAATCATAGTTTGGCCAGACCTGGAAAATATAACAAGCTGCACTAATGGACAACTAAAAAAATGTGTAAGCTTTAGGAAAGAATAGATTTAATTTCATGAAGTGAATCAGCTTGCGGTCAGTATTAATTGTTATGTGTAAACTGCATCCATATTACTGCATCCAATTTTGTTTTGGCTTCTAGATACTGTAAAAATTTACAGTTAACTTAGAGACCAGAAAAGATTGCTGCATAATTGGGGGGGGCGGCAATCTGGATTAGTAAATATTCACATAGCTAAATTTATTCAATTTAGCCACTGTCAGAGTCAAAATGATTTTGAGTAGCTCACAATGTAAGCAAAAAAATTAAAATACAACAACAATTCAAAATAAAACCAACAAAACCAATACAGTAAGTACATACATACGCAGAAGACAGCAGCATATCTAAATCGAAGTGTATCCCCCGACAGCATCCAGATGGAAGACACACATTTCACCTTATGCTCTGTTGAAGAAAGGCAGAATATCAGTGACATAGAGCAGATTTTTGTCACGATTTGTCTGGTGCAAATTTATATCGCCAGCTAATGGGGAAAAAAATCTGTCTCTTTCAAAATGAAAGCTAAGTATAGCAAATGCTATTTTGAGTGGTGGTTTTCATTTGCAAAGATCTGTCAAATTGATTTATAACTGTACCAGAGGTGGGTTCCTACCAGTTCGCACCTATTCGGTAGAACCGGTTCGTCAAATCTACCGAACCGGTTAAAAAAAGGTTCCACCAGTGGGCCCGGAAAGCAGGCCATACCTACAGAAGAGGTTCCGAAATTTTTTGAAACCCACCACTGGCAAGGATCTTGTAACTTGACAGCTTTAAGACTTGCATGCTTCAATGCCAGAGTTTCTGAATAGCTACTTGGACCGACCTAAGTACTAATTCATAATTTCATATCCGGTCACATGGACGGAAAGCCACTCCCATCCAGTCACATGAGCAGCAAGCCACTCCCACAAAGGAGGCCACACCCACAGAGTAGGTTCCAACAATTTTTGAAACCCACCACTGAACTGTACCCTCTCACATCAAGTATTAACTCAAAGGTAAAACTTGTAATGATTTACTATGTTTGTGTTCCACCTTTCCTCCAGGAGTTCAGAGGACACACATTATACCCCGTCCTCTAGTTTTATCTTCACATCAGTCATATGGAGTCAGTTGGGCTTGTCCATAGTCGATTAGTGAGCTTCATGGCTGAGTGGAAATTTGACTTGTCATAGTCTCAATCCAGTCATTTAAACAGTAGATCATACTGGCTTGAAGAATCAGAACCTGAAGACATAAATACTAGATATATAAGATATACCATGGTTGAGGTGTGGCCAAATACTCCAATCACTGCTAAGAATATTAGTTATGTTGCTTGGTTCTGCAGTTGGCCATACCCTTAATGGAATTTTCCCTTCACCCTTCTTGTTCTTACAGGTCATCACTCCCGTAGGCATCCTCAGGAAAACTGCTCAGTTAGACAAGAACATTTCTTGCCCAACTCCACTCATCATAAAAGTGGTCCTCAGGATCTTTCTAACCCTTGGGGAGGTCCCCCAGGTGACACTTTGACTGTGACCAGTTTCGTGGGTCCTGAACCTCGAAATGTACTTGTGTGTCCTGCTCGTTGTTCCCAGAGGCTGCGGAGGCCTCGCCCAGCAGGAGGGGCTGGGGAACCCATAAACGTGGACGGTCCAAAAGAACCACACGGATGTAGCGTGGCGCTATCAACCGATGGAGTTGCAGCTGGAAGAGCTGGTAAGGAGGATGGAAAATATTGGGAGTGTTAGCCTGCACCCATGTCCTGCCAAAATTCCAAACGTACTCATGCTCTTTGAACCCATTCCAAATATTTGCAAAGCATACCTTTGTTATGTGGTTTGTTGCTGCCGCTGATGCAACTGCCGTAGAAATGAAAACAAATGAGCTGGCACTTAAAGAAAATACAAAATAGACAATTGCACAATTTAGGCATGGGGTAATGTTACGAAAGAGTTCAAGTTTCTGGGTTATCTGGAATCCCAAATGAGGACAGGTAACATAAAAAAAAGCAAAGAATAGAGGAAGAAAAGGAATTAGGTCAAATGTGATCATCAGGTCTATTTTAACATTGTGAAGACTTTGTTGGTACATTGAATGTATTTTTTTAGTACTAGGTTGCAGGTATCGGATAATGTCTGGCATTCTGAGGCAAAGAATGATTAAACACACACACTTTCCCCAAATAAATGAGAATCCAGATCAATCTTTTTTTACCTTAGAATACAAGGGGAGGCCTGATAATCCAGAGGAGAACAGAAGTAAAGAGAAAAACCACCATTTTAACATCAGAAAAGCTGAAATTATTTAATCAATAAAGTTGGTGAGGACAAATTTAGAAACTGGAGGGAACATAATCTTCAAAACACAAAGACTCTGTTTCTATGGGAGAAAATATTCTGGTGATAGATTTGACTTTGTTAAATTTTATATTTAAGTAAAAGAGGACTTTTGCTTCAGTATCTGGCGTGATAATTATTTTATTACAGTTTATTCCCATTGTATAGTTCTGTAGAACTTCCACAGCTTTGCACAAAACAATCAAAAATGCCATATTTGTCATTTTCAAAATAATACCTTAAAAAAAACCCCTAGGGTTGCCAATCTTTGTCATATCAAGCATCTCTGGCTGACATCTTTCAATATATCTGTACTACAATCACTATTCCATTTCAAGAGGAATAGCTATTTTGCTACAAAAACACCAGTCGTGTGACATTTTTAAAATTGCACATGTATGATTATAGGATTCAAGTCCACGAGGACATGCAGTAATAAATATATTGATTTTGAAATATCACTTCGATTTTTAAGTTTACATTGGGGAAATCTATTTCCTTTCTTTGTGGCATGACAAAAAGTACATTACTCTAAGTTTTCTGCGCGCACATATTAGGGGCAGGAAAGAGAATGCTAAGCAGCAATCCAGCATAGTAGTGAAACAAGGGTGAAGTCAGTGTAATTTTGTAAACAACCTCCTTGGTTTTTTGCTTGAGTAGTAGAATGGGAAAGCAAATGCAATTGGTTTCTGATCATTGGAGAAAGCACCTGTCTCTCACCTTGTGTTTAGAGGATTACGAGCCTTAATTTTGTTTCCATGTGAGAGTAAATAACAAGGGTTCAACTCTTTTAAACACACACGCCCACATGCACCGAGCAACTTGTTCCTCCTGGTTCTGAACAGGTTAAGCGTCAGCCACTCCGTTCCCTCCCCTGAAAGTCCTTGGTTTATCAGGCAAAGGGAAAAATTCCTGAGAGGGGGGTCAGAGAAGAACAGAGAGCAAAGAGGAGCAGCGTGCCAGAAGACCTGCTCCCTGTTTTAACTTCTTCCCTGATTGTTCCGTCACCCTCTCTACCTGAAAATGTTTGAGCAAGTTCAAACCTTCCTACGCCACATCCAGGACTTTAAACGTAAATATCTACTCTCTACCATTTTGTTTGTAGTTGATTTGGGAGAGGGGGTGATGAGGGAGTCCAGCTTACTTAAGACTAAAACTGAAGGAGGAGGGAGAGGATCAAGGGGACTGTTTCCTGGTAACTGCATATTGTTTAAAAACCCTTATCGTGTTGTTTACTATCAATGATCAGAAAGGCAATTATTTTATTAGCGTAGAAATCATTCAGCTTGTTTGAAAGTTTGGATGCACTGAAGATCTTAGGAAGGTAAAGATCTTTTGTAAGATCAGAGGGTATTGAGCTGTAAATGAGTAGCACGGGGAAAAAGTTCATTGGGATTTGGGGCATATTGCCGGACAATATTAGCAATAGCAGATATAATTTTTACTCCACACCGCAAACCTCCAAACAGGTGCCAAAAAGAAGAAAACCTGGAACGGATTTTATACTTTTAAAAAACTGAGCTTAGTTCTGAATTTGAAAACAAGTAAGAATGCAATTCCACTGATTGCCCCTCCCTCTCATACACACCTCAACCTCTCTTTTAAGTGTTTCATTTTGGGTTTTGTTTTTTTTTACATCTGCTCTTGA